TGGAGCGAAAAACCAAAAAAAGACCATGGAGAGGCCCGGCCGACTCACCAGAGGTGGTGTGGAGCCGAGAGACCGGCTTGTTTTGAAGGAAAAAAAAATTGGCTGGGGCCACCATCCCCAGTGCCTTATAAGGCAGTGTTTCTATCCAGCTAGCACACTGAAGCCGGGTCTGGTCTGCTACTGCTGTTTGCCTGAGAGCAACTCAACTACACTCCAGAGAAGAAGCCAAAACTCAGGTTGACAAAGAGGGGATATCATTTATCCCAATAGCTACAGAGGAAGAAAGTCTAGTGTAGGTGAGAAGTGGAGTGACAATAAGTTAAAGGGGAGGGGAAGAAAGAAAAAAGCTGAAGAAAATGGGAGATGAGAAGACAAAAAAATTAATGGAAAAAAACAAAACAAAATGAAGCATATACGAGTAGGAATAGGGAGAGAAAAAAAGGGCGTGAATAACCAGTACTAAGCAAAAGAGACAGCATATGTATTAAAAGGCTTTCCCAACTAATGCTGAATAAAAAGAGCATCACTCCAAATGATCTTAAAAGAAATGGACAGGGATTGCCCCCCAGAGATAAACTGGAAAGCATCATACAAGCTTTTAGCTCTATTTCCCATATCATTCACACATAAGTGCTGTGCATTAAGTTATCTGCACGCCCTGGGCCTGCAAAAGTATGAAAACACAGTTAACATACCTGCAGTGTGTTTAACAAGCCTGAGGGGAGGGGCTGAGAGAAAAGTAGGGCCAGGGAAAAGAGATAAGGCTAGAAAGCGAACGGGGAAAGTGCAGGCAGGACAGAAGTCTATGGAACTTTGAGCCCCATGTATGGCTGCCAACTATTTACTCAGTGAGGTCATTTCCTTTAGGACAGCAGAAACTTGAGTGATTTGCAAATAACCTGTCCATATTTTAGTTTTGTCTTTTTCTTTAATTCCGGAAAAGGCCTCATCTTGTGCTTGCTCCTTAACAATCACTGCCTGTACTTTGAGCTGCCAAGTTAAGTCCTGCACTTCAGTCAGCAGTGGTGTCCTGCCAAATAACGATCCCTACCGTTTGCACAAGGGGAAGGTTGCTGAGACTTGAGGTTACACTTGATTGAGTGCTGATAGAGGCAATATAGTGATCTACAGTTTATATAACCAGAGAGTGGGGCGGCATTAACGCATCATTTAAGTATTATTTTTTCCCCTGGCTGTTCTGTGGCTGGATTTACAGATAGCAGCAGCTCTGCCCCATCTCATCACAAGAGTTGAAGATTGACTAAGGAAGGTGACCGAGTTTCCCTGACAGATGCTGCACATTCCTCCACGTCAGTTTTCCTTATCCCAAGAGAAGCCTGCCCACTGCTCCTTAAATGCATTACCTTCATGATCATTTAAAAAAAACAAAAGGAAAGGGGAAAAAAAGCACAAACCTGAAATTAATTACCGAGTTTCCTTCACTAAGCTGTTAGTGAGAAGAATAAATAAAGGGTCCACACAATGTGGCTCCCTCTGGTACCGTTGCCATGCCACAATAACAGGGGATTTGTGATTCATTATTTACCAAATATGAGCCTGTGAGCAATTATCTAGGCACTTTAAGTATGCATGTTTTTCCTTCACCTGCAACCCCCCCACCCCCAACCCCAAAACCCAAACAAAAACAAGACATATCTTAGCATTTATTGTTTGTGTGCATGCGTGTGTCTGAACACACCGAGCAGCAAAACTTCTTGATCCCAGCGACAGCACAGAGGCTGCTAAAAATGGAAAACCGCAGCCTGTTCTCTCCTACGCATGCTTCCCACTCAACTTTTGTCTCAAACACTCAACACCTCTCTCTCCCCAGCTCATGTGCAGGAAGTAAACACCACCGGTGGTCAAGTTATGCCGAATTCTTCCTCAGGACTTGACCAGGATTGCCTCAAGTTGTATGGAGGGGGGCGGGAGAACCCCAGGGGAAGGGATGTATGGGAAAGGGGGGGTGGGCTGAGTCAGAAGGGGCCCATTAAAAGGGGTGAGGTGATGCTTTTTAAGATAGAGCTGACAGTGTGTTTGCACTCTGTCACATCCAGTTAGGGGCCCCAGAAATTCAAACACCACCCTCTAACTTTAAAGCTAAAGTAGGCAACATCACACAATGTTGGCTAAAAGTTACAGTTAATAGGTCTGAAAATAGCTTGGGATTCCAGCTTTCCTAGGGTCCAGAAAATAACTGAGATCTAAATTTATTTTGGGAGAACAGAGCTGATCTAAATTGTCGGAAGACCTCTTTTCCCATTTAAGCCCAAAGTCGTGATATACACTGGTGTAATGGAAGAATTTTTCCACTGCCTTATGCAACGTTAGGTCATCACAAAACTTAAAGACAGACACATTTAAACAGTTTCAATTCTAATACATCAGTCCTTCGCCAACTTAGAAAGCAAGAGTTATTTGATTGTATCAATGGCAATAATTGCAAACGCTATCCTTATTTGGCTCAAATTCCATTACTTCTGGGCCATCGTCCATACCCTGACAATCACTGAGCTGCTAAAGAAATCACCAGATGTGGGTGGTTAATGAAAGGTCTGCAATCAGGCAAGTCCATCGTCTGTTGGCCCAAAAAAAAAAAATAAAATTAAAAAAAAAAAAAATCTTTCAATTGTACGTCACATAAGCGGCTGTACAAACAGGTCTGACTCATCCCCGCACAGGGTAAACACAGGGACCTGAGACATCGTTCACAATCTCATAACTTCTGACCACTTTACCTCTGAGGAAAAAAATTCAGGGAATGCACCGTCTCACTCCCCTCTCCCGAGGAAAGCAAAATAGAAATGGTTGCCAGGCTGTAGGTGAATAAGAACCAGCGTGTTGATGTAACAGCACACGGACAACCAGATTAAACAAAGATTACCGGTATGATTTTTTTTAAGGGAAGATAAACAAGAGTATGCAGATGCTACTGTGCTGATATTACACAGCATGTTCAAATTTCCTTTTTTTATTGTTAGTTATGTGGAATCTGCGGTGTGAACTTCTTCTGGCTTCTGAAGTGGGGTGTGCTGGGAAAACTTCGAGAACCAATAGATCAATGGCCAAACTGGAACATCGTCCCAGATCGCGCAACAAAAAGGCACTGACATTTATACCACAAGGGTTTTGGATTATCACAGAAAATAAGCTCTGTGGCAAATTGAAAGTTTATGATATTTACATTTTTCTTTTCTTCAAATGGAAAAATCTCCATAAACTTGCACCAATATGACCACCACGAAGCAACTGTGTTTGCTGTGATGGCATTGAAATCCAAAAACAACTTATGTGGTCTTACTCAGCCAATTCCTCTTGTGGTGCCACTTTGGCAAATAAAGCAAATAAAGACGTAGTCACCCAACTTGAAGAAAAAGAAAAAGCTTGCAAGGGGGAAAAGGGGATCAGACAAATGACACATTATTAGAAATGAACAGGGAGACTTTTGCAGATATCACCCGAGGGAGATATTAAACCACAAATACCCAAATCAGTTGGCATCAAATGATGGTTACCCTGTCAGCTCCCAAGTGGTCAAAGTCCGAGAAAAGTCTGATTATCCCAAAGAGAAAACAGCAAGCGAGTGGTTGTCATGGTCAAACTACATAGATTATTTCCAGCAGTAAGAACACATCTGGCTTGGACAATCTCCCATTGTTTGCTACATGTGAGAAAAAGCTCTTTTGGACAATGACCAGACATGACTCTTCCCATGCTACATTCATGTATGTATAAACACACACACAGAGGCTATCTTAAATTTGAGGTCAATATTCAAATGGGGGGGTAAGATAGCTGTCAGAGAAAGACAAACATTATAGATTTTACATGCCTCTCAATTCTAATCAAATGCAATGCTATATGTAAGCACCAGAGCGTACTAAAATCCCACCCTACAAAACAGAAATATTCAAATCAAAATGAGCTCCAGTCAGAATCTAATAGCAGCTGCTGAGAGTACAACAAACTAAACACATACTCACTGTTTTACCTCTTTAAAGTTAGTTTTTCTCCTCCAGCTACAAAGATATCATGAAACTAATCTTCAATGATTTTCATCATTACTACTACTACTACTACTACTACTACTACTACTACTACTAAGGGACAAAACTCCAGTTTCCAGAAGACTATATTAATTAACTGTAAAATTAATTAATTAAATTAATGAATTAAGCTGGTGGGCAAATATAGAGAACCGATTTAGGCAATATCCAGAAACAAAAAAGTAAGCCATTCTCAAATTGTTCATGACACTGACATGATATAACCTAACACTTCCAATAACTTATATATTTGTTTTCCTTAATACTATTGCTCGTTTATTATCTTGTCACTTATTTATATTCGGGAGGTCAAAGGGGAAAAACAAATGGAAGATAAATACAATTTAAATAATAATTAAGTGGAACTTCAGATAAAAATCTACACATTTATCTGAGTGGTTGAAACAGTAGGAGATACGCAGTTTTACAACTTCAACTTTTCTTCTACTTTAATTTTTAATTTAATTCTAAACACTGTTATTATATATATTTTCTGATATTAATTGCTGCCAATATGGTTTATTGGATTTTTGGCAGACTGGGTCCTCCATAGCCAACATCCTATTTACATACCAGTGTAGGAAGACTGCAATGGTTCTGTGGTTACATCTGGGACTGATAGGACTACAGTGGCTTGGTGGGCCCATATGTTATCTAAAAATATTAGTCTCCATGAAAACACCCAGGGGAGCTATCTCAAGTAGTTAATCCTAATCTGTAGACAGGCCTCAAAGAGCCCCAAACTGCTCTGTCTGCACCCAGATTGAACTATTAATCAGGTTTGTCTACAGTGTCTCCACCAGGCGATAACACTTAAATCATAAACTGCACCGTTTTAACATGAAAAGGTGTTTAAATGCAATTAGCTCACCTGAGGGCGTGCATGCGTGCCTAGCCATTCAGCGATCAGACAACATCATTAATAACCTATGAAGTGGATCCCACTTGACTCACCAGTAAACTTTCCAGGTTTATGGCAGATCTGGGGTCTCTGATCATGTCCTCCAGCTTCTTCAGCCGGGTTTCCATCCTCCTCTCGGCGCCCAGCGACATGACTGCGCCGTCGTTGGTGGTTAAAAGTTGGGTTTTAAAAACTAATGAAGAGGCTTTTCCAAACTGTTTGAGTTTACATGTGAACCCTCTTTGTTCCTGGCTAATGGCCGCAGGCCTGGCGGAGCAGCCTTTGGGCTCCCAGCCCACCCAAATCGCTTCCAACAGGAATGGTGTGCACAACGAGGAGAAAATATTCCCAATGCTTCCAAAAACATAAAACTTGCCAAGTGAGAGGGGGCCGTCAGTTAGCAAACCCGCCCGGCTTTAAGCTAGGAATGACGACTTGAACTATCACCTCTCGTTAAGTGGAAGATGCATTTTTTAAACTTGGCGATAAAGTTTGAATTTACCAGCAACAGGCAGCAAAGCAGGGCGTTTTCTTTGCCCCCTTTTTACTCCCCTTTCCTTCTGGGTTTCGACCGCTTGAATTTTTTTTCTTCCTGGACTTGCTATCTTTAGGAGGGAAAAAATCCGCTTCGTTTCACCCCATTCAACAACGCTTTAGCCCGTTAGAAGTGGAGTTTATCCTCGGTGCTGCCACAAGTCCTCCGAACGGGTAATAACGTCTGTTCTCCCGCGCTGAATTTTTAATAAGCACTCGCTCGCCTCTTCCTGGATTTCTTCTCGCATTTTCGCATTTGTCCTCCTCGCTTCAAGACGTGGACGCCAAAAAAATAAGTTTTTCTCGCAGAGAAAACTCATCCAGCAGCTGAATTCCTCACCGTACACTCACATCTACACACTAACACACACACGGAGGCTGTACTCTCGCACTCTCCGCCCCCTGACATCAACACACACACAGAGGACTCAATTACCCATAATCCACCAGTCCTGCCCTCCAACCTGGATATCGCTTGAGATAAATTTCTCTTGTAATCTTTTAATATCAAAAACTTTAACTCTTCTCTTTAGTAGGTCAAAAGTATCCATTCTTTGTATAGTTCATAACTGTAATAAGTTTATATTTTTTAACAATAAATACGAGCAAGACAACCACAAAGATGATCAAAAGAAAGTACACTCTTTTCAAATTCTAAGGTTTTATATAATAAAAATAACTAGCTCGTCTGAGATTTTAGAATTTGGCAATACAGCTTCAGATGAGCTGGGAAATATGACATATTACACCATGTCTTTATTTATTTAGCACAAAATAAGCTGAAACACAATACAATACACTACTTAGGGGAATTCCTAGTGCTGTCACAGAAGCTGTCTTTGCAAAGAGTGAATAAGATAAGATGACAAATTCCTTTTTAAAGTAATCCAGTCTGCATTTTAGGACTTTATATCTTCTATCTGAAGGTGACAGTCCACACTCAAGATGGAGGATATGTAACAAGTCTGGCAGAATACAGGTTTTTCATAAATGAATTGGATGGAGAGGTCCTCAGTTTACCTCATGGTGGACTGCACCAGACGCAAGAGCTGAAATTTTGCCAGGACAGAAAGACTGCCATGCCGCGCAGATATGTCATACTTCGTAATGCACTCCAATACATTCTTTTCTGGAAAGCACCGAACACGGTTAGTTGGCATAACAAAAAGATATTAAAAATAATTAGATGCCTGATGCCAATAATCAAATCCACTTGATTATTTTGAGCACGTCTATAAAAGCAGAAGTTTTAGCAGTTTGCTTGTCTGCACCATTCAGGTGTGTGCAAACACAATGTCAAAGAGATACAACATCTGCACAGATCTTAGAAAAGCAGTTGCTGCTGCTCATCCTTCTGGGCACGGTTATCTGGCTATTTCCCAGAAATTTAAAGTCCATCATTCTACAGTGATAGAGACAGTCTTCCCAGGAGTGGATGTCCCAGCAAATTCACCCAAGGTCAGAGCATGCACATCTCAAAGAAATTACCCAAGAGCTACATCTTGGACTCTGCAGGACTCCGTTACCATGTTAAATGTTAAAGTTGACAACACGATTAGAAAAACACTGAACAAATGTACCTTGTTTGCAGAGTTGCTCATGAACAAATCACAAGACCTCTGGAACAATGTCCTTTGGACAGACAAGACCAAAGTGGAGATGTTTGGCCATAATGCACAAACACCTCATACCAACTGTCAGCATGGTGGTGGAGAGCTTGTGATTTGGGCTTGTTTTGCAGCCACACAATCTGGGCACTTTGCCATGAGTCAACCATGATCTCCTCTGTATAGAGTCAAATGTGAGGCCTGACAGCTAAATTTTAGCTTAAACTGTGTCAATGATCCCAAGCACACGAGCAAATCTACAAGAGAGTGACTGACCACAAAAAGAATGAAGGTGTTGCAATGGCCCAGTCAAAGTCCAGACCACAGCCTGACTGAAATGCTGAAGTGGAGCCTTAAGAGAGCTGTGACTAAACAAAGCTCAGTGAACTGAAACAAAAATGTAAAGAGTGACCAAAATTTCTCCACAATGATGTGAGATTGACCCTAAACATGCTTCTACGAGCTATTGAATCATGGGGTGTACTTAGTTTAGTCACACACTGCTTATGCAATTTGGCAGAGCTTTACTTAAATAAAGATGCTGTATAATATAGTATAAAAACACAGATAAATAATAAATATTGGTAAAAAAAAAGAAAGTATACCCTTAAAATTCAACGGGACATAAAAAACGTACTCCTTACCAGGTCTTAAAATTACAATAGCACTTCTAATTCGAGTTTAACTTTAAAAAGCACTTGAATATATTATTTATAGCAGAATTAATTTGATGATCAGTTTTTCAATATCAGTTATTATAATAAGTCTCACTGTTTGCGTTATTATATTTAAAGAAATAAAGAGGCAATCAAACCACCGATGTACCTTCACCTTGCTCAAACTAAATGTCACAATAAAGTTTTTTTCCACTCTCTCTTGCATGCGTATGTGTGCAATTTCCCATACAGTAACAGTAGCAGGAAGTGATGCTTTTTAGATTTTCTTTATTTGGAACAGTCAGTTTGCATGAGAGTGTCACAGACAGGCGAGCAGATAAACACACAAGCGCCACCTACAGAAACAGGAATGTTTCTTGGAAACAGCACTCATACCAGCAGATTTATTGTCTGTTTGACAGGGGATGTCTGGGAAATGCAGTCCAAAATAACAGCGACGATACAGGCTCAAAATGATCTACTTCTTGTTTTAATAAGCTTGTCTCATCACTCACAGTAAAGCACTAGGCTAAGATGTGCCATCCTGAGACCCTTGTGCTTCTTTGTAAATGTTATTGAATCATAACTCCATGCCGTTTCACTTGTACTAAACATAGATCTCAGTTATTTTGACCACATTTTAAGTGGCTCACACTCACCTGAATATGACAGTCATAAACACACGGGCAGTTTTTAGTTGATATAGGTGGTGTTTATGTGTAAAGGTGGAGACTATTTAAGGATATTTCAAGTAATGTTATAAATTGAATAAGAATTACCACTTACTGTTATTTTGATGATAGGATGTAAGAGACATGATGCACACTAAACTGAAATATTCCCAAAGCAGCAATCAGACGTAAGCTGCATTCAAGCTGGCTGTACTCATCTCTGAGAAGATTCTCAGTAAATTTCACACTAGCAAACATATTCATCAGGGCAGAATTGAACTCGAAACCTGGGATTCAGGAAAATAACAATTAAAGATGTGCATGGAGTGAAATTAGTCTGAAAAGGTAGATAGCTGTGTACAATGATTTGTCTGTAAATTCTGAATTCCCACAAATGTGTGCTCAAAACCACACACAAATCCAAAGCAATTTGAACACAGATTTTACAAACATGCATATCAAAACTGGAATGAAAAGTGACAATTTAAGCACACATTTTCACATTTAGCTTCACATATCTAATCATCTTTGCTTTCAAAAGGCAAATCAAGAATTTTTAACGCATACATAAATTCCCTTAAATGCACAGATCACGTGACATGTCATATGATGCTCATCTGCAAACATCCTGAGGCTAATTTCACTACATATATGTGTAGTTGTTACATGAATGTGTACATATGGAAAAAGCTATCAAATGAGCTTTGTTATCAGCTGTGTGGGATGGCCAGACTTTACCTGTGGTTGCTAGGATTACCTCTTTGTTTTGCAGCTGCATCATCTTAATAAAGAGCTTTAAATTCCTAGGAACTGGGCACTATTGGTTTGTGTTGTGTTATTGGCAGTGTGCTGCCCGAGAATGAAGCAGCTACATGTTTTTATTTTTTTATTTACACACATTTATTTCTTGTTGTCACAGGTCAAAAAAGTCTACTAAAGCATGAAGGTCTATTGATACGGGACAGCGGTTAGTATATTTATTATTACACACATAAGATAACTTGGAGTGGAGTTATGACTCTCAAATTATCCTCAATTGCATTATTTGGACTATGACAAAAATATTCCCCTTTCCACTGAAGTGGGTGTAGACTTCAGTGACAATGCAATTTCCAACTGGATAAGAAGTACACAGTACATACAAATGATCACACAACACAGGTCACTTGTTTTAAAGAAACAGTTCACTTAGTCATTGATGTGAACAGGTGCTTTAATCACACTTAAAGAGTTTACTTCTCAAAGTCAAAGACACAAAAATGGCCTAGTATCAGCATAGCTGTTTACTTGTTAAACAAACGCCATATGCAGCCAAGCAAACACAGAATAGGACAGATGTCATAAAAATCGCAAAACTAGGACCAAAATGCAGACTCAAAGACAGAAGGAAAAATAAAAAAAAGCAAGCCTTTATTTTGGCTGATTCAAAGTCAGAACACAAAAATCCACAGGCAAAAGGCAAACTGAATCCAAAGCAGGGAGGGAACACACTGGGAGGCTGAACAGACCCTGAGAGGAAGGCGGAGGGGAAGATACCACTATTTATATATGAAAGGGTAATCAAGGAACAGCACACAGGAGGGTAACAAGACACAGATGATAAGAATCAAGGACAATGAGACAGCAAAAATGACACACAAAACACAGAAGATGACTACAAAGGCTAACAAAGTAAAACAGGAACATGAATAAACACGACATCGGGGAGAAAAGACAGAGGAGGATGAGATAGAAAACACTAAAGATACAAAATAAACTAACATAAACTAGAACTATGAATTAAAGGCTCAACATATCTGTAAATAATGAACAAAGAATCAAACAGAGAACATCTTAAATATACAATTCAGTATCCCAAAACTCATACACAGTGACATAATATTTATATTATATTGATATCATAACTCTGTTTCTACACTCATTTTATACGAGTGCTTGTTGTTTGTTGTATATTTGCTGCTATGACAACTTAACTTCCCTCTGGGATTCTTGAAGTTTCTCTGATTATGATTAGATATTAAAGTCACCGGGTGGCTGAGATTTGTGTCTTCATTACCATAAATTAAGATATTTCCACCATGAAATGTAGAAAAAAAACAAAATGGGTGCTTAAAATTTTGGGGACGACACACTTTATCTGTGCCCCCAGTTATTAAAAATATAGACAGTTATATAAATAATATTTTAGCTGTAATCATTACATAAGTGATGAGAATAATATAGGTATAACAATGTATTGTCTATAACAAAAATATCATTTTATTTGGGGTGTTCATGTTATTTTGTCCAGGGGATGATAAACAATGCCCAATCACTAAGCAAAAAACAGAAAAACTACAATTGTTAATATTATAATACATTTTAAAATTCTTGTCACTGCTTGCTTACTTTTACTTCTATGGGAAAATCAAACTTTTTATTTTTCTATTTATTTTATTCAATTTTATTGTACCTCCGGGCC